AAGTACCTCACCACCATTGACCTCTGCAAAGGTTATTGGCAGGTTCCCCTCGCACAGCAGTCACAGGAGTTCACGGCCTTCCGCACACCCTGGGGATTGTTTGAGTTTACGGTTCTGCCATTTGGTCTCCATGGCGCCCCAGCAAGCTTCCAACGATTGATGGACCAGGTACTGTGTGGTCATTCAGAGTATGCCTGTGCTTATCTGGATGACATTGTTATTTTCAGTACCACCTGGGGGGAACATTTGGAGCATCTGGCAAAGGTTCTGGGAGCTCTAAAGGTAGCTGGTCTCACATTAAACCCAGCAAAGTGCTCTCTGGCCCAGGCTGAGACCCAGTACCTTGGCTTCATAATTGGAGGTGGGGTAATCAAACCGCAGATTAAAAAGATTGAAGCGATTGCATCTTGTCCATTGCCACAAACTAGGAAGCAGTTAAGGTCTTTCCTAGGGATGGCCGGGTTTTATCATCGCTTCATCCCACAATTCTCTGCTCGAGCGGCACTTCTGACAGATATGACTGGCTCTCAGCAACCGAATCAGCTGAAGTGGACAGAAGAGAGGATAGCGGCGTACAAGGACATTCAACAAGCCTTGAGTAAGGATCCAGTGTTGCTCTGTCCGGATTTTGACCAAGACTTTGTTTTGCAAACAGACGCATCGGACCGGGGCATTGGAGCGGTGCTGCTGCAAGGACCGCCGGAAGACAGACACCCGGTTGCATACATAAGCCGCAAGCTGTTCCCCCGGGAGGTGCGGTATGCAACCATTGAAAAGGAAGCTTTGGCCATAAAATGGGCGCTGGACTCCTTTAAGTATTATCTGCTGGGACGTCAGTTCGTCTTGCAGACAGACCATAAGGCTCTGCAGTGGCTGGAGAAGATGCGGGACACCAATGGGAGAATCACCAGATGGTATATCGCAATGCAGCCGTTCAGATTTGTGGTCCAGCACATTCCCGGAAAGGAGAACCACACCGCTGACTATCTTTCCCGCAGCCACAGTGAACTTTTTGAAGAGGGGGGGTATGTGAGGGCTGACTCCTCCCTCACAATTGGAGCTCACACTCCTGTGAGCTGACTCCACCCACTCCAGCTGAGGGTGTTACCTCCAGGCTCCACCCTATGGCCTGAACCATGGCAGGTCCAGAAGAGGGGATGTTTGGGGAGATTCATTTGAGTTTATATTCTATATTAAGTATAAGCATATATTAGCATTTTATTATTATTATTTATTATTATTATTAGTCATATTATTACTATTAACTTTATCCTTAATTAGTTAAGTAAATGTATCTGTTTTGTGTAGTATTGTTTACCCCCTTTAGTTAATAGTTGGTCTGATCATCCAGCTTAAATGTTCCCCTGGTGTGTCTTGTGTGAGGTCAGTGTTTGTCATGTTCAGTTGTACATTTGATTTTGGCCTCATTTATTTGTATTGTTTGGCTCATTTTTTGGCTAATTAAAAAGCCTTAGTAATTAAACAGTTTGTGTGTTTCCTGCTACACCATCGGTCCCTTACAATAAACAAAAATCATATGTCATTTATTGTTGTTTTGGGTCCACAAATTTGAGCTATTATTCTGGCTTACGCCTCTACAACATTAACCTTGTGCTTGACATAGTAAATCCTGGCCATACCTGCATGCGGAAGCCAGATCCCGTCAGACCTCTGAAGCGGTGCAGTACCTGGTTGGTACTGTGATGGAAGACCTTTGGGAACACCAGGTGCCACAGTGTGTCGGCTGCGGCTGTAAAGGGCCAAACTGTGCTTGTGTCCTTAGGCAAGACACTTCACCAATAATGCCCAGAAGGAGTCTGGTGTATGTGAAAGATTGTTGGTAGTCGGAAGGGTTGATGGCACATACTGGTTGCCTCGCATCAGACAATGTAGACGTGGATACAGAAGTAGTTTATACAGTAGTGTATACAGTGAAAGAATAATGACATGTAAAGTGTCTTTGAGTGTCCAAAAAAGCGCTATATAAAACCAATGCATTATCATTATACATTCATAAAATGTACAAACTAATATATCATATAATAATGCATCCAATTATGTATTGTGAGGGTGCAGGGACCTATCTCCATGATAGACTTATTTCAATTGACCTTTATTTAACCAGGTTAACACCATTTAATTTAAAAAGGTTATTTTTCATAAATACCCGCCGCTGATGGATACTCAGCTTGGTTAGCAGTCAGTACTAGCGGAGCTGGAGGATTTCAATATGATGCATCCAGAGCAGAGGAAGCCCACCCAGACACAGGAACAAACATGAAACTCAACAGGGCAAGGCCAAAGCCACTGTGTTAAGTGTATGGACTCCAGCTCTATGCAGTTTTGGATCTCAGGGTTAGGATACAAACACTTTGTTCTGAGTTCATATAGAAGCAGTGACCTGCCTCTGGCCTCATGGATGGCTGCACTTGTGTCCAAACATCTCAACAGCCCACTACCCCACAAACCCCGCCCATGGAATTCTCTCCTCGGGCACAGACTGTTTACAAACGAATAGATCACCACTCATGTCGTGTCTCGCTCTCTCCCTGGTTTCTAATCTGCCCCTCTCTTTCTCTCTGTCTCATCTTCGGGCCTTTCCAAAGTCATCAGTGCATCCATCCATCCTGCCCTGTTCAGCCTGCGTCCAGGCCTCCCATCTGTGCTCCCTTCCCGCAGGGGAGATGGTTTGCTCGTCTTGGTGGATTGGAGAGATTTCACATTTAATAGATGCTCTTTTCCTGTGATGTGAGAGGCTTTTATACCATCCAAACTTAGGCCCTGAGGGCCTGTGAACCTGCAGGTTAGTCTGCATTAGTGGGAGATAAGTAAAAATGTTAGATGGAGTTCTGGTATTCTTCTTATAACAATTGTAAACCGCTTTGAGACTCCAATGTGCAGTGAAAAGGCGGTATATAAATAAAGATTACTACTACTACTTACTACTACTTACTACTTATTGGGCTTGTTTATCCCCCTCAAGATTCAAATTATTTTGTGAAAATGTGCAAGTTGAAGTTAGGGTAAAAGTATACTTAATGTCCATGTAGGGAAATTTGCATTTGATCAATCCTTCGATGCCAATATGGTCACCTGTCTGGAGCAATGGTTGCAACAGTGCTTAAGCCTGTACTACTGGAGGATTGTATATGGTGCATTTTTAGGGTGGTGGGAGAAACTAGAGCACCCAGAAGAAACCCACCCAGAAATGGGGTGAAAGATGCAAAAGCAAGGCCTGAAGTCAGGATCAAACCTACAACCTTCTTGCTGTGAAACCTGTGAAGTGGTAAACCAACTCATGCATGCAATAAATTAAATCATTTTATAACATTGTTTCAACTACAAATATGACTGCATCTTATGTTGTATCCTCCCTGCGAGTGAGGACCTACACATACATTAAAACATGATCAAAAGCTCAGTTTAAACAACACCATGGGAAACAGGAATCAAAGCAGTACTAAATTACAGCAGTGAGCGCTCAACTGCCCAATGATAGCCAATTACATTTGAGGATACTGCCATCTGTTGGATATAAAAAGTTAACGCTCAGTTTAGGTGGAAAATGATCAATATTTAGATTAATTAAAAATGTTGATGTAAAGGACCGTTTAGAACATCCACACCAGAATTTTATAATTAGCTGTTTTTTGTCAGATTGCAACTCAAAGTTTTATGGTTACAGCTGTAATCGGGCTTATTCTTGCTGCCACATATGTAACAATCGACTATGTTTTGTATATGTGTCCTTTTTATCTGAAAAAAGTGATGACTTTTCTTGTATCTTTTTTATTAAACACGGTGATCAGTAGTACGCATGCGCATCGCTAAACCAAAGCAGTGGTCTGAACTCGCGTGTGTGATTATGTGATCTCACGAACTGTGTAGAACCTCCTGACGGGACGAGCTTCTCATCCCTGTGTGGACCAATGGAGAATGTGCACAGCCTCACTGCTCATGGCTCCAACATCTCGGTAACACATGGGAAGTGAGACAGCAGCACGATTCGGCTCCAAGCAGGTAAAAGTGAGAACGTATTTTCCCCGCGCCTAAGCATGTGTGTTGTGCAAAACTTATGACGTGTGCCCTGTCATTTATGTTATTGACATCATTGATATTATTGGTGTTTGGATTGCGCTCAGATTCATTTTTTATGATCTGCAGTCTGAGCTCGGCTGGTGTTTTGGAAAAAGACAAACGACAAGTTATTTCCTTTTCATCAATAGTTTCCGGTTTAGCTCTTCAAAGTTAAATCTGTCACATGAAAAATATATCTAATACGTTACTTTATATATTGCACAACCTATTATTAAATGCCATATTTCTAAATGACAGTGTTCGAGTTAGATGATTTATCAAGGACAACGAGTCGAAACAATGTCACGTTTTGTTTTGTTGGCCACAGCCGCTCTGGAGCTGCTCTGAGTATCCACTTGACTCACACTAAAGCCAGTCTGACTGGCGCCGCTACTAGCCTAGGGAGCTAACCAGGGCCCAAAACTTTTACCTTTGCATTAACGCCTTCAGTTTGCATTTATCTTACAAGTTAATTCATCCGGGTCCTTCGCTGGGCTCATAGTGCACGTGATGGAGCAGCACGACTTTCCAAAGGAGAACAGACCAAAGGTTTCCTGACATGTGAAGGAGAGAATCATCTGTTAATCATGTATATAATATTCTTTTCCTTACAACAAGGTCTTTCAAAAATAAATGTTTGTTACATTTGTTTTTGTACTACGTTTTTTGTTTAGGTGTTTTCACACTCCTATTATTCCAATCTGAAATTGAACTGCATTTTCATAGTAACTGTGACCAATTTGCATCTAAGTTGTAGAGACATACACATAATTCTTAATTATTTCTTTTATTTTTTGCAGATGATGGAAACTGAATGAGTAAAGACATCAATTTGTATCCCAGAAGCATGGAAGGCTGGAACATCTTGGACATTTCTCCACTTGAGTAAATCCCACACTGTCCTGGTGAGGAGAGCAGTGAAGATGTCCATCCCCAGCACACCCACAAGTAATGACGCCTGTTTAAGCATCGTGCATAGCCTGATGTGCCACAGACAGGGGGGCGAGAGTGAGACTTTTGCCAAGCGAGCAATTGAAAGCCTGGTGAAGAAGTTGAAGGAGAAGAAGGACGAGCTTGATTCTCTTATCACCGCAATAACCACCAATGGCGCCCACCCCAGCAAGTGTGTCACCATCCAGAGGACTCTTGACGGAAGGCTGCAGGTGAGGCCACAACATCATGGTGATGCTCTTTGCCAGTGGTCAAAGGGGCTAATTCTATTGTTAGGGACATATTATCACATATCCTCTGTATTTGTATGGCCCAAACCTAATTTTGCAACTAACATCAACAAGAGCCTCTGAAAACTTCACTTTGACTAATGGCTTGAATTAATTCCAGGTGGCTGGTCGCAAAGGTTTCCCTCATGTGATCTATGCGCGGCTGTGGAGGTGGCCGGACTTGCACAAGAACGAGCTGAAACATGTGAAATACTGTCAGTTTGCCTTCGACCTCAAATGTGACAATGTGTGTGTGAATCCATACCACTACGAAAGGGTCGTGTCTCCAGGTATAGGTGAGTCTGCACAGTATCTCTAATAAGGATTACACTTGTATCTTAATTTAAAGAGAGTAGTGTGGAGCTGCATTGTCTTTCAACTAAACTTGAGGCATGTAAAGATTGCTCTGAGGAAGGTGAGTCTAGTGTTGAAATGTGAAGGTGTCGTGTCCACTAAATAGCTTTTATTTTATTGGATCCTTTAGTTGTGCCTTATACCAGAAAGGGACCCTTCTGTGCTCAACCTCTTGACCACTAAATCTGCATTGCCAGTGTTTAAACCTCCACACACTTTGTTATCATTATTGTGGACAGATGCACAGATGAACTTGCAGGTGTATCATCTGCAAGTTTAAAACCCTCAGAATGGCATAGGTACTGTACTTGCAGAGGCTGAAATAAAAATAATAAAACATTGGTGTTAAAGTTAAAGGCCATGGTTCACATCACAGCATGGCTGGAGCACTGCTGCCTACAGTTAAACACCTCAAAAACTGTATCAATGCTTTTCTCCAAAAAACATATTACAGATGTGCCTGATGTTCATGTTTCAGGTATAAGGCTGCAGACCGTATCCCAGTACAAATATCTTGGCATAATCCTGGACTCAACTCTCTCATTCAAACCTCATGTTAAAATGATCAGTAATCGCATTAAGTTCACCCTCAGTAACTTCAGACACATCCGGCCCCAAATGTCAATACAAGCAGCAAAAATGTACATGCACGCAATGATCATTTCACATCTAACATACTGTTTAACTGTCTGGTCACATGCCAATGTCACAACTCTCAAACCCATCCTGTCCCTCTACAAACGCACCATAAAAACTCTGGACCGCAAACCACTCTCACATCATCACTGTCCAATATTACAAAAGCATAATTTACTCAGTTGGGAAAACATGGTCAAATACTCACATCTCTGCCTCACCTATAAAATAATTCACGGTTTGTCATCACCCCCACTCACACAGTTCATTCACATCAATACAGCAGAACTCAGGAGAACCAGAGCAGCAGCAAGGGGCGACTGCATCATCCCTCTGAAAAAAAGCCTCTTTGGTCAATCAACATATTCTGTCAAAGCCGCCCATGAATGGAATCTCACCCCCACAACAATTAGGAACACCAATACATATGAAACATTCAAAATACAGGTAAAAAAATGGCTCATTCATAATCAAAGCTGTCAGCACTGACTCCTCACCGCTGCCCCCTGCTGGCCTCTTGTTCTTTGTCTGTGAGTCTGACTTGTCTTCATTTTTTATTGAGTGTGTAACAGTTGTGTGTTCATATGTGTCTATATGTTTGATTTGTGTTATTGAGGGTATTGCTTGTATATATTTTACTGTGTCATGTTATCTGTCTGTGATATGTTTAATTTTATTCCCTTCAGGAGGACACTTAACTGTCCAGGGACTACAGATGAAAAATAGCCTTTTGGCTAATTCTGGCTTATTTACATGCATAATGTATTTTAATATGCACTGTCCCTTTAATAAATAAATAAAAAAAAAAAAAAGTGTGGCCATTCAGATCAGAAAGAGGATTTAGATTTGCGCTTGAAATTGCAACAAACCTCATCCTGCTTTCTGATTGGATAATTGTCACACCAGTTTATAAAGTTAACATGATTCATTCTTGTCAAGTTCAAATTGTACATGCTGTTTCTTTACACTGATGTAATATATCGATGTGTCCCCAACGGGTATGACGGATGAATGAGTGAGTTTCATAACCACCATCTCTCGCTTTAGACTTGTCGTCACTAACTATTGGACAACACGTTGGTTCTGGTGCCAGCTCCACTCGGATTGTGAAAGATGAGTACGATTTTGATGGACCGCACAGTCACCCGTCTATCGACACGGGCCACGGTCTACAGACCATCCAGCATCCGCCCTCGTCCTCCAGAGCACCCCCACCTGAGCCCTTCTCCAGCCCCAGCCTCCTTCCACCCTCTGAGGCATCCACGTCTGGGGCGGCTCCTGCTTTTCCTACCATCGTTGCTGCTTCTGGAGGTAATATCAACTGAACAGAAGAAATTGTATGAAATTTAAAATTTCAGTTAAATGTCAGTTTTTTGGCGACAGTAGCTCAGTTGGTAGAGCATTGGCCTTTAGGCCTGAAGGTTGTGGGTTCAATTCCCACCTTGACACCTTCTCCACCGACTCTCACTGCTGTCGTTGTGTCCTTGGGCAAGACACTTAATTCCACTTTGCCCAAAGCCCCCGCTGAGAGATCATGGCTATGCTCACAGTCAGAGAGCAGCCGTCCTCCTGTGGACTCACCACCTGCAGAGGGTCAGTGAGGGACTGGTGCTCTGTGACTTGGGTGGCATCTCTGACTGCCACCCCCCCAACCCAGAAATGGATTAAGGGGTAGAAAATGGATGGATGGATGGATGTCAGTTTTTTACCATTCATTTAAAAATGAATACACCATCTTGGAGACTATTTGTTGCATTCAGGATGTAGAATTTAAATTTTGTTAGCGAGCAGGTGCCAATACTACTCCATGGGAAAGACGAATTTTTTTATCAGGACATTTTTGATCAGATAAAAAAAAAAAAAGACAAATATAAGAACCTTCTTATATCTGAAGGTCCTTTCTACTGGCTAACATGCATATTGAATATTGTTACCCCTTCTGGACACTTTTTCTTATGAGAAAATAATCAGTGCTAAGTTGATTTGTACAGAGAAAGATGTGAAACTTTGACAACTTTGTTTCAAATGGTATGGTTTCATATTCTGGTGTGTATGTTGAACATTTGCACACCAATCCTTCATATTTGTATTGTTCTCCTTCAGGTTCAGGCTCCACATGGCCTCAAAGCTTCACTCCCAACATCCCACATCATCCAAATGGACATCTGCAGCATCACCCTCCAATGCCTCATCCAGGACACTACTGTACGGCCACACTATAACTATGGAAAACTAGGAGTGTAATCATTTTGCCTTTGTTTGACCAAAAATAATCTGGGTTAAAAAAACAATTAATATTCTAACATGAAATCCATTGATAATCTATGATCATGTTTAGAGAAATGTTGGGAAAGGGTTCTCAGTGTGACATTCTCTTTTCCCTAGGGCCAGTACATAATGAGCTCGCCTTTCAACCTCCCATCTCCAATCATCCAGGTAACAGCACTGTCATATTTTCTACTCTTAAAGCAATACCATGCCCCATAGATCCAGACATGTTTTATGCTGTACCTTAAGCATTTGGATCCTGTCTGAATTTAGGAGCTTCTTCTCTGTAGTGACATCATGCTGTCCTTCCTCCTCTTCAGCCCCAGACTACTGGTGTTCCATCGCCTACTTCGAGATGGACGTCCAGGTTGGAGAGACGTTCAAAGTGCAGTCCTCTTGTCATATTGTGACAGTGGATGGGTATGTGGACCCTTCTGGGGGAGACCGCTTCTGTCTTGGTCAGCTCAGTAATGTTCACCGCACTGAGGCCATAGAGAGAGCAAGGTATGTCAAGAAAATGTATTCACTGTTGATTTTAAACCTTTTATTTAGCTTGGGTAAAAAGATACCAGGGCTGTAACCATTACTCTGATAATTAGGGATGCACTAAATCCAGATTTTTGGGGTTCGGCTGAATACTGAATCCACTAGTTAAGATTCTGCAGAATCCGAAACTGAATACAGAATCCTATTCCGTCCTCGACATTGCAAATTGAACATGTAGCTTGACTAGAATCACCTTCTTTGGACTGAAAGTACTGCCAAACAACACTTCTGCTCACGAGTTCCATTTTCACTTTCTCACTCACGCAGCCTGAGCTACCGCATTAAAATGGGCCACCTATGTAAACACCTTCCTATTATCAACGGCGGCGTCATGACGTCGACCAGCGTAGCGTGCGTAGTGTAAGCATGGTTCGGTTCGGTGGGGTAAAATTCTTTGGTTCCTTGTCAAAAAATCCAATATTCGGCCGAATCTGAAACCGAATCCTGGATTTGGTGCATCCGTGCTAATTATCAATTAATCTCTTTGGTTTGGTTGTTTAGAGCGGTGATGTAAACGTTTAGCTTTAGCTTAAGTGAAACGGCTTGAGGACATTCTAATAGCTGAACTTATATAATATCTTATACTTATTATTTCCAGAACAAAATCAACATTCACTATTCATTCATTAACATTCCCTTTATTAATCAATTTCTGGGTCTGGGGGTGGCAATCAGAGATCCCACCCATAGCTCACTGATCCTCCTGCAGGTGGGGGTCAGCATTATATGTGATATGTTCGCATTTCATGTATTGATTTGGAAGAGTATTTATAAACTACATCCTGTGCATTTTCCAACAAACCAAGTTGTATATAGAGCCATTTATTTATAGATCTTATTGATTCTTAATCAATTACTAAAACCGTTGTTGATTATTAGAGAAACTCTATTAGAGACTAATCCATTAATCATTACAGCTCTAGGATAGACACCCTCACACACACACTACACCTCTTTGATGTGTCCTGTTGTGTGTCTTCAGGCTCCACATTGGAAAAGGCGTGCAGCTGGAGTGTAAGGGAGAAGGCGATGTGTGGGTGCGATGTCTCAGTGATCACGCTGTGTTCGTCCAGAGTTATTATCTGGACCGAGAGGCGGGCAGAGCTCCAGGAGACGCGGTGCACAAGATTTACCCCAGTGCCTACATCAAGGTCAGGCTGCAGGAGGCGCTATAGTTCATTTTGTTTCACTTTTGAATAGTTTCAGATAGTTCATGGTTCATTTTGCCAAGTAGATTTAGGCATTTGCATTTGGGGCTGGGTGAATTAAGTAGTTATCGCACTGACAACTAACAACATTTATTTTGCACATCTTCCTAGAATGTACCCCATTTACAAAGATATTATAGACGTTGTGATACTTTGGTTGCTTTTGACAGCTCTTGAAAATACATTGCTGAAGTATTGGTGTTCATCGTATGTATTGTATTTATTATATAATATATTGGCATATACTGTGTGTGTGTGGGGCCAGGTGTTCGACCTGCGGCAGTGCCACAGGCAGATGCAGCAACAGGCGGCCACAGCTCAGGCAGCAGCAGCAGCCCAGGCCGCTGCAGTAGCTGGAAACATACCTGGACCTGGATCTGTAGGAGGCATCGCTCCAGCCATAAGTGAGACCCAGTTTACAATAACTTGATTATTCTGCTATTGGGACATTTTGCTCTATCAACTACAACAATTGTATTTCCCCAGTTAGTGTGCTTCTTTAATCAAATGTAAACAAATGTGTTGTATGTGTTATGAAATCTCTTCCAAAAAGTAGTGAGGAGGATTTAATAACTATAGGGATACAATCTAACAGGTGAAATAAAAAAATGTACAGTATCTATTGAAATCATTCAAAAGTAACTTTGGCTTTTATTCACAAATCTACATACATTTAAATCATATTAGATCTATGAATTTACATGCAATCCTCAAACGGTAGGGATATTTGGCCTTTGGGAATTTCAGGTTGAAGTTAAAATGCATGACAACTCAAGGATAGGATGTCCTCTGGTGGCTTCACTACAGCTTTTTCTGGGTCAAACCAAGATAATATGATATTTTCAATATAAACAACTAATGAATGAATGAAATATTGATTTATCAAAATAGTTGTTAGTTACAGCCCTAACTTGACCACACAAGTACAGCATCCTCACTTTGTCTTGGGCACAGTTTGCATTTATGCTAAACTAGAGACCTGTGCTTTTCTCAAAGTCTATTCAGGCTGATCAGAAATGGGTACACACGCAATGCACCAGCCACTGTTTGGATTTGTCACTGTACCATTCACAAAGTAGTGGGATGATCAGTATGGCCCACACCAACACCACCATAGTACATGAATAATATGATTCATCCAGTTATGTGCTGCTGCATGAATGAGAATATAAAGTAATCAGCATAAATGTTGGCCATAGGTCTGTCTGCAGCAGCTGGCATCGGGGTGGACGACCTGCGCAGACTGTGTATTCTCAGGATGAGTTTTGTGAAAGGCTGGGGCCCAGACTATCCACGTCAGAGCATCAAAGAGACGCCATGTTGGATCGAGATCCACCTCCACCGAGCGCTGCAGCTGCTGGACGAGGTTCTGCACACCATGCCCATCGCCGACCCACAGCCTCTGGACTGATGTGACGTTTGAGCTGCAAAAACTTTTCTACATGAGTTGAATTTACACTATAGATTTTGTTTTAAGGGTTTCTGATGATTTTAGATTATTACAGGGGTGCCTGAAATGAGGGGAGGCCAGACATTTGGAAGAACTATTCATTTTTTTATTTTTTTAGGCATTTTCATTAAAAAAATAAAATATTTAAAGACAGTATTCATATACATAATTGCAGATAGACTATTGACGTGAAAACCTCAACAGATTTGACCTCGAAGGCTTTGGGCACCCTTGGATTGTACGGTTTTAGTGACTTTTGAATATATATTTTTTTCAAATTAGTATAGATCAAGAAAACTTTAAAATGACAAGATTCATTTGGGGGTTTATTGATAGTTTTTAGTTTTTGGTTCCAGTGAAATGAGTGGAAAGCAGAAGCAGGGTCTAAAATGTTTGATGCTTATAATTTCATAGTGAAACCTGAAACATTTTATTATGCCATCAAAATGTATTCATCATGTATTTGTAAACTTAACTAACAAGGATGCACTGTAGGAAGATCTCTAATTCACAATATTGGGTTCACTAGAAATCAGAAATTCTAACTAATGTACAGTTCACCATTTTAGGCTCACTTTTGGGTTGGAACATTTTGGTTTGTCACTGTAGCATTCTAACTAACCCTTTTTTTGCACATACGTGTTGCACAATCAAGCATTTTTATCTTTTGGCATGGAATGAGTCAATACTACTCGACAAGATAAAGATATTACAAGTTGATTTTCCTACTTCTTATGGATTGTAGGGAGACATTTTCTTGAATTATTTAGAAATCTTGTAATTGTCAAACTTCTTTTAGACAACATATTTGATATGCAACAACTGGAATCTTTTCTGATGTTGAAACAATGCAAAATATAACTTTTATCAGTGGAGCTGGCTTTGATGACCTAACACTGTTTCACCAGAACTACTGTAAATAACTCAAAAGCACTTCTTTGTTCTTGGGCACTAAAAGTGACCGATTTTTTTTATTACTGACTGATAGTTTTATGATTTATTGTATGACTAGGGAACAGTTTGTTTGTGGGATTAAGATTCATATTTAAATGTTCTTAATAAAAGCAAAACAAGCAGGTATGTGCATGTTCATTTCAATTCATAATTGTTGCTATCACATGGTGGGAGAAGAAAAACTGACACTTAATGTTATCAAAATATATACTTATGCCTGCGGTGTGTACTCATTTGAATGTGGCATAGCTGTAGAAAAAACGAGCAGATGCGACTGTCTATACAAACAAGCCAAATGAGAGATCATGATAATGAGAATTATTAATCTGCAGTGCCATCTCCCTTAAGTGTTGTATGAGTCTTATAACAGCTTGCAGAAGGAAGTGTAAAACTGTCCCCTCATTCACGCCTGGTTAAATTAGCTAAGACTAAAAATCTACTGCAAAGATGATGGCTATGAATGTGAAAATGACGATTAGCCACTAAATAGGCAACTGCATTTAATGAACTACGGCTAATAAAGTGAGGGGACTTCTCGTGATAGTAAAAAGAAACGATGGTAACACAGCTCCTTTTCCAATGTCTTGACCTGTACAAAAACAAAAACAGGCTAGATATGGCTTTAAATGAAACCGTCTTTATTAAGTAACTTTAATATCAGAAAAATAAAACTCTTTAAATTCTCTTTACAGCAAATATATAATATCAGTGCTTTGGCCGCAATAACTTAAAAGGCCATTATAAAATATAGTTGCTTTTAAACTCCAGACTCAATTTGAATTTAATATGCCATAAGACTCCTACATATACAAAACAAAATGTAGTAAAATTAGCTTCAATACTTTGAACTGTTCGTACATCCTATCAATCAATATATGCATTTATATAGATGTCTACGTTACATGTTACATATTATACCGTTCTCATTTGGTAGGGTACAGACAATAACAGGCAGCTTGTATCCTTGGCCTTTTTACAATTGCAATGAAAAGTCTTAACATTTGCTGTACATGCACATTCCATTTTCCATTAAAGCCGAGGTCCCACGTAGGAAAAGAAACTTCCCATTAGACATGACAATTTGAAATAGATTGTGTGGTTGGTTTTGTTCATCACCAGTCCATCCAAAACATGGTCAAAATACACTGCATTTCAGTTTGAAAATAAGGGGCCTCAGCTTCAATTAAAACTGTCTATCAAATACTATTATCATTATCAATACTGTAAACTAAGAACTATAACTACAAGCAAATAGCACAGACCCTCTCCTGAGCTGTTGTAGGCAATCTCTTAATCATTAAGTAAAAAAAATTAAAAATCTTATTGTAAACATTTTAATATAGATATATGTATATATATGAAATGTAACAAAATAAGTAAAGTAAATAGGTTCTGTATTTGTCATTAATAACAGTAATCTTAAAATACATACACAAAAATATAAAGAAATTGTAGGCCAACAGTGTATTGCATTTCTCCCGTAAGAGAAAAAAATACCAAAAAATAATTGACCCTTCAGCCTTCAGAGCTGGAAAAAAAAAATCAATAAAAAATGGACGGATAGAAAGTCCAAGTGATTTTCTTTTTTTTGCACTTTGTCCAAAATGTACTCAAACCATGATCCCAGTATGCTCTGAAATGGATGTCGAGGCTCGAAATGAGAAAATACATGGCAATTCTGAATAATGAGATCCTGGGGAGAGTAAATAAGTCTCATCATGTCGGGAACAATTGTTGATCTAAAACATTTACATTTCTGACTTTTTTGTTGGTGGATGGTTGCAGAATTATTATGAAAAATGAAACCACAATTATTTCAGTTATAAATTCTCTCTCAAAACAAATATTTTGAAATCCTTTTCTCTTCATCCAGAACAGCACATATATATATATATATATATTGACCTTACGTAGTGTTTAAGCTGCTTCTCGTGCCTCTTTGAGTAAGAAAATAAAAGGTTTTAAAGCTCCAATGAAAGATGAAAGTGACAAAGATGGCAAACTGTGCTTAAACTGTAGAATACCGTGATATGGTGTACAATGACCGTGACTAAAGTGTAGCCTACAGCTAAGACCATAAGTTGTTCAAATTCTCTGTGTTCATATTTTCTACACATGTTTAGGGCGACTTTTGGTAAACAGAAGTATTTCTTCTTTCGGCTGACTTTCCACCAGCGTTAGACACTATAGCTTCTTCACTTGTTTTTGAATGGAACCGGTGCTGCAGTGTAAATGCAATGTTTTGCATAGAAGGGAAAATATGGATTATGTTTTACAAATGGCCTTGATCCTAAATTGTTGCATCCAAGTGTTATTGATATGTAAAATATAAATAATTGATGTAAAAATGTGGGGTTTTGGACAAAAGATTTGTTAGATAATTTCATAGCAAGCACTTAAGTGAGTACCGCACATTAGACTGCACCTTAAACTATAATACAGGAACTGCAATCGGGAATTACTGTAATATGAAATAGTTTAGAATAACATCTGAACTTATTATTTTGACAGGAGGAATGTTCAAGTAACAGCAAGGTTTGATATTGATGAAGTAATATTTTTCACAGAAAGATATGTCATTAGTTTGTTCTATGCAGATGCGTTTGAGAAGTCTGATGTTTTTGAATACTGTAAAAAATAAAAAGTATTGAAAAGTGTCAATTTTTTTGTCAGTAAATTACAGGCTTTTACAAAAGGCCACATCTCTCAAGTCAACACTTTTCATTCTTCTAAATTTAGTATGAAATTAGGCACGCTTTTATTGTAAACCATGTATAAAATAAATATGCGGCTTAAGTGTAAAACAGGAGCAACAAATTCAATAATTCCACATTCACTGTATAGTTGGATAAGTCTGGATCACTCTGAAAGTGACAAATTTGAGTTACAAAAAGTCATACACATATTTTAACGTAAAAAACCAAGTAAAATTCTCAAAACAAACCAAGGTGTAAAGGGTAGCAATGAATATATTGCCCAATATCCCATCTACCTATAAAATAAAAAAAAATAGTTTGGAGTGACTTCATGTTAACTAATTTTTTGCAATTTAAAAGCAAAAGTTTGGGAATTAATTGCTGAAGCTCACAATTTGCTTTTAAAATTATATCTAAAATAAAAGGTAGGAAAGTTGTACCGTTACACATTTTAGGGAGAACGTAAAATAAATCCCATGATAAAGACATTTGATTTCCCTCCCCGATGCTACATAGAGGGTCACCAACCCTCCCATTGATCAATCAATGTGGAAGAAAACTTCACAATAGCAGGCACATGAATGGGTTAAATAAATATCATTCCTAGATCAGTTTTAAGCCGTCAGCGTGAGGTGACGAAACACTGCTAGTTTACCATTACATATTTGGACACTGCCAAGTATCATACGTATAAACTGAAATAACTTGAATTCAGCATAAAAATTTTGATCTTTGTAGTTTTTAGCTGAATTTTAAAGATAATAACTTTATTATCTTTAGAATCCAAGTAATTTCACTGAATGTACATTAATGTGCAGTGTTTCTGAAAGCTCATGAGGTGGCGGTGCTCTGGAGTCACATGTTGCGGACGACAATGGCCTGTGTGGCGGGGAACAGACACACCGGGCAGACCGGCTCAGCGCTGCGGCAGATCTTTGCGGCGCAGTCGAGACAGAAGAGGTTATGGCCACACGGCACCAGGGCGGCGATCACCTGACTCTCAAGGCAGCAGACGCACAGCTCTCTGCTCGCTGCGCGGCAGGAGAGCGAGGAGGGCGGTGATGCAGAGGACGCCGTGCTGTCACTGGAGGAGGAGGATGAGGGCAGGCGCGGCTCCAGGGGGAAGGAGCCGCGCTGCACCCGCTGAGCCTGAGGGTGCTCCAGGGCCTCGAGCCCGGAAAGAGAGGGGGAGAGCCGCGGAGTGCCAGGCTGACTCATCTGCACAGAATAACACATTCATACCTTTTATAGGTAATGACGTGGCAACGATCCACTTGAAAGCCACCAGTCCACCAGTCCAGCTCATTCATTTTGTAATCAAAAGAAATTAACATATTTTTTTTTTACATCCCATAATATCAACCATTGATTAGTTATTTCAAATTCTTTGAGTAGTAAAGACAGACAAACTATTCGTGAAGCCCCACTCTGGATATGAAGGTTGTTTTGTTTATAATGAGCGAATTTATAAAGTGCAAGTAGAACACAATAGTGGCTCAGTGATTGTTGTGCCTTATTTGGCAATCCCAAAAGTTGATATACTTTTAATAACTTATGGGATGGAGTTTTGTTTGCAAAGTAAATGTTCGTACTGTTGGCAATGGTGCCTTGGATCTGTGTGTGTTTTAATATCGTGTGCATATTTGAAGAGCATATCCTTATGATTTAAATGTCAGTACTAACTATTACACATCCATTGTGGATTTACTTACCTGGCTTTGGCGAGTATCCATTGTCTGGGGAGCGGTTGGATCCATAAATGGACTCCATATTTGGCCTTGTGCAGGAGAGAACGGCGCTGGAGTGGTGGATATGGTCAGTGGGTCAAATCCGGACGAACTTCCGCTCCCAATGCTCCCCAAATCTTCAGACCCCACAGGCAAAACGCCTTCTCCGAACCAGAAATTTGACCCTCCGCCATTACTGTTGTTATTGTTGGAATTAGCATTGAAAAGGCAAGTCGGACTCAAGTCTGCCAATCCTCGATTTCCATTATGAAAAGAATCAGCAGAACTCGATCCACTACCCAAAGAACTGGAGCTATCATTTCGGTAAGTGGAAGACACCTTGACGCTGTTGCTTTTAATTCGTTGGCCATTGTCAATGCTAAGAGCGAGCACTGAGCCAGCACTTGGGGAAGATGCACCTGCCTGGAGCCATCCGCCTTCTCCCAACCCCTGGGACGTCAGAGAGCCCTCAAAGCTGACATCTGTGCCGTTGAATTGGAAGTCGTTGTTATCCACGCCGGGTGACTCGATGGGACCACACATTCCTGTGCGCATGGCGATATGAGCTTCTATCTCCTCCCGGGCGCGGTCCACATTTTCAGGCATCCCAGTGACCTCAAACACGGGCTCTTTGTCCCGACTTGGAGTCACAATGTAGGTGTGAGTCTGCTGCTGGATGCGTTTGATTGTAGCTCCTGAAAGAGATGAACAGCCTCACTTAGACTAAGCTATGTAGGACAGTTGCTAAACATTTTAGTAGTTCTAATTGTTGATTTTTTATTTTTTTTATTAGCCAAACAAAAGTCTGTCATTTCAATTCTACAGATATGTTTTAAATGTTTTTTTAGAGAACACAGAAAAAATGTATCATGTATAATTTACCCATTATGATTATAAAAGTGCAATTGTTGCAGTCCTAAATAGGGGTGGTAACCTAAGGGTACCTCACGATACGATACACAATACAAAGCTCACGATAGCGATTATATCACGATATGACGATTATCGGTTTTCTTGGTCAGCAATATACCATATGCCAATATGTGGCATACATAAAAGAGAAAAATGTTAGGTGAAAAAATAAACATTGCACATCTCCATTCCATTTATCATGAAATAAAGTGTATTTTTTTGTTTTTTTTTTCAAAATCGATACTTGGCAAATGCATATCAATAATCGATCACAGGAGAAAGTATCGCGATATATCGAAAAAAAAAAAAAAAAAAAAAAAAAAATTAAAAATAAAAATAAATAAAAAATAAATAAAATAAAAAAATTGATATATCGTCACACTCCTAGTCCTAAAACTAAGCTACCATATGGAGAGGCCATATTTGATACATTTTACATTTTCAATGTGAAAGTTAATTTAGTAAATTACCATAAATGCGAAAAATATATTACTGTGATTACTTTGGCTGTAGACAAAGACTGCATCACCAAATCTATGCAATATACTTGTTTCTGTCCTGCCTCTCTGACTAACACAAGGTTGAGAATTACCACGGTTCAATTTACAAATCAACTCTAGAGTTTGGCACTGCAGTGGTAATGTCAACATGCAGGAACCAAGCAGGAACTAGAGCGTCCAGAGAATTGAGAGAATTGTGCTGCACATCAGAACAGAAGCACAGCTCAGCACAAGTGATTCAAACTACGCAACTGAACTCCTACATGTGCACCTTGACATGAGCGCAAGACATACACAATCGATTGCTCGGCCTAATGTAAAGCTCAAACGTACCTTTTGGACCAACAACCAGCCCCACCACACGGTATGGCACCCTCACCTATGAGATACATAACATTATAAGTACAAATTACGTCAATGAAGCCCTTAAGAAATGTCAAAATTATATCATACACATTTCCAGACCTGAATGGTGGTCTGACCAGGCAGAGCGGGGGCTCCAGGCCCCGTGACAGCGGCCAGAGGTCCAGTCTTGTTTCGAGAGGCTCTGATGAGAGAGAAGTGTTCGGCTGCCGACAGGATCTCTCTTTTGGCCATCAACACGTCTTCTTTTCGTCCGGTCACCACAAACACGGGCTGCTCCCCCCTCACAGGGGTCTTAATGTAGGTATTGGTCTTTGCACGAAGCGCTTTAATCTTACAACCTGAAACAACAAATGTATCAATCCAGCGAGTCTTACTAACAACTAAATATCCAATTCAAATTGGCTGCATACAATAATTGCGCTAAAAACGTATCCTCATGTTTGCATGAAGAGAGCAATGTATAATACCAAAATGATCATTCAATCATCTAATCATTTTGCTATTATGCAGTATAAGTACAACAAAGAATTTAAAATACTTAAAATCAATGCTCAAATCAGTATCTCACCAATACTATTATAAAATACATGAAATACTACACAATTGATGGTGGTCGAGGTCAATATGTTGACCACCTCTTGAAACAATGAGGGACCCCAGTGGGGGAGGCAACATAGAATTCCCCAAACAGATAATCCACAAAAGCAGTTTTCTTTTTTGTTGGGGGTTGGGTCAGCCAAGACTTGCATGTCTTAACACCCCATGTTAAAAGGAATGAATACTAAATATCCTAGTCGGGTAAAAACCTTGTGTTCTATTAAAATAGCCGTTTTGACGACACTTGAAAAAGGCTAATTTAAAGGCTCTATTTTTTTCTTATTAGATACTAATACTTATTGATCAGGATTCAACGAGAATTTTTTTTAACTGTATATAGTAGATTTTAAATTGTTTTTCACCCTTGCCTCTATATGGTTTGAGTCCATTCACGTCTTTTTCCCCTCATTTTTAGCGCTGTCAATATTATTACTCTTGGACTAATGGACTTTTTGACAATAATAACTTTAAAATAGCTGTATATTGTAGTTCTGCTTTACCAGGTCGTTTCCTGTTGTTGTCAACACTGCAGTCTGTGCACCTTCCCCCATCTGTTCCACCAAGACATAAGACTTTCCAGCTCCAATGCACTCAGCCTTTTGTGTTTGGACACATTATGTTAAGAAAGAGTCCTGATGAGAGATGCTTGAAGGAACTCGGGCAGAGTTTATTGAATAATTTTATTATAAAAAAGGTTTGATTAAGATTTAGGTTAACATTAACTCACAAACTATATTTAATAGACATAAACGTAGGTTTTGAGGAAAGTTTTAAAAAAGGAATAATAGTCAAAATATATTCCAAGTCATTTAGTCATACCTGGATGTCCACTTATGTCGAAACAAACTTTTCATTTAGAATATTTTTTTTCTTAAGTCAATAATGTATGCCAATTATTTATTAGTTGAATGACAAAAATAAAGTGAAGTAATTTTAGTTCAGAAGTTAAATTGGAGACAGTGAAACATACTTCCTATTTCCACATTATTAGGGCTTTGTCAAATTAATTGGTTAATCGTACATAATTGAGTGAATGGAACCTATGCTGAAAATACGTAAAATTACTCTTGTATTTTTAGTTCTAAAAAACAACAAACCTCTTCTCTGAAGGTGTTCTCCAGCGGCATCACTTAAGATTTGTTTGTGTCAAATATTTGATATTCACTGAGCTTTTGGGATCTAAAAATCTAATCCATTAAATGAGAATTAATTATTGACCAACTCATCGATTATCAAAATAATTACAGTTCTATTCCCATCTATAGTATAGAGCTGGGGGATACAGCAAAATATTATGATTCATATTGATCAACGTTGATTTAATTTAAATAATGGCTTTCAATATTCTCCCAACACAGACTATAGAGACTATAAAAATCCATGTAATTTCATTCAAAACACCAAAAAAGTAAGATATCTTTAACGAAAGCCTGAACTTTGCTCCAAATCATATGTCTGACCGGGTCGCCTCTAGGCCTGGTTATTGACTGATTATTGATTAATTTGTACATACTGTCTGGATGTAAAGAAACAGGTAACGCTTTACCCTCATCCATATCATCCCATAAACGTTATTACCTTTGCATGTTTGCAAGGTCAACTTGTGTTAGGATCAAATGTTTTTAGTAAGTTTTCATCGATTATATTTGTCTCTTTTTGAGACAGTATTGTCCAAGAGAGCCAGGGGAACACACTAAAGACTTACCTGTAGCTGACTGAAAGACTGACAAACAAACTCAGCCTTGCAAAAACGAAATTTTGTTGGGGTGTGAACTTTGTGCTATTAAAATTAGACTTTTAAGAATAGTGAAAATGGTAGAGCGTTGAAATCCTTTGTTGTTGACGTTCGCTGCAGTGACTGGTTATCAATGTGAGAAACGCGATATGAAATAAAGATAATGCTATTTCAAGCACATCGACTGAATTAAGTTTCCAATCTAAAGAAACTCACCCTGCCTCCCAACTATCTCTGCTACGTGCTCGGAGCTCGGGACAGCCACACATTCAGTCGTGTTGACGCTTTTTCGGCGATTTAGCACCGACGCCTCGCCCTCGTAGCTGGGATCCCCGGCCATCAAGGCACCAGGGGGACAATGGTGGAGCATTGCGGGGTCTTCGTTCTCCTCCCCGGCGTAGAGAAGCACCGTGTCGACTGGGGACGTGTGTTGATGGCGATGGGCCTGGGCTAGCAGCAGCAGAGACCCGCCAGGGCAGTCCGAAGCTGCGGGTGGGTCCTCATCTTCCCCCGCTTCGTGCACGTCGTCCTCGGATGGCGATCGGTGCAAACATGGCAGTGGTTTCAAGTCCAGAACCGTACCAAGCATTGTGAAGTGAGACACCGGGGGTATGTTTTGGTTGTGGCGGGGAAAGGAGAGGCTTTCGTCCGCTTCTTGCTCGGGTGTGTGGCGGTGGTGGTGGTGGCGGTGGTGGTGGTGGTGGTGGTGGAGGCCCATACCGGCGAACGCGTGCACAAGCGGCGGGGAAACTGCTTCAGACTCGCCCTCCTCCGCCTCCAGCAAAGATGTGCTGCTCGGCATGGTGCGGAAGTATCACGGCGAGTCGTTTTCTCGATGGAATTGATGTCTAGGGTTACAGAAAAACTAAAAAGCGACCAGCGCCTGATGGTTGAATTGTGCGGCTATTGTTTTGTCTGCCAGACTGGGTTGCCAGATATTTCCTCTTCTTCTAGTGTTCTTTTGGCGGGTGGCATCCAACTTTTGGGTGCATTTCCGCCGCCTACTGTACAGGAACGTTTTTTTGTTAACAATCAAAGTGTGCAAAAAACACATGCCTTATTAACTTGATCCCGTAATGACTGCATATAAAAATAACTATCAAAATATTGAAAAACAAGCAACGCAATATGGATACCTATCAAGTAATATTACTTTTCCGTATCCATGTTTTTATTTTTTGTTCATATTAGTTTTACAGTTTTCAATAGAGGCTCCTATTTTCAGATCAGATGCTTCAAAACCACAAAATGAAGGAATTTCACTGAGTTTAATTTTATGAATGTAGAATGTAGTTTTGCTAAGATTAGAACCAGATTTTTAACATCGATTTTGGATCATTAATCAAATGTGAAAATTGGATATAATTATATTTTTTCCTGAATATTCCAGTCAAATACTGATTGGCAAGAGGATTTTTTTCCAATCAATCTCCACATTCTTTGCTATTTTACATGATAACAGTACAGTGCAGGACACCTTTCTTTGCCAACCTGGATGAAGGATTTTAAATGCGGATAGAGTAATTCCATCTAAATGAAATGTGTATATGCCTTAACCCCCATCTGAAGCTTGATTTTACACTTCCAATTTGTGATTTTATGTTTTAGCTGTTTCTTGGCAGACAAGACAGCCATAATCCATCACTGACGTTATCAATTGAAGATAAATGTTTTCTTCTGTCTGCCCCTAAAATCAAAAACATCTCCCTGATCTTTCCTTTCGTCATAGATTTTCCACCCTCTTTTTTTACAACTAAAAAACATGCAAAATGTTTGTAGCCCCATGAAATGCCCAACCTGTTATCTCTTTCTAGACCATATCATAGGCTTTATCTATATCAAAGAACTCTTTCGAAGCTACATACTTCCTTGCTCACCCGAGCTTTTCTGATCTCTAAGCTAACAAGTGCATCCATCTTTCCTCTGCCATTCCAACAATTGAAAGTAAGATTAAGTTGGCTGAATAGTCGCCTGGTTTGATAGTCGCCTAATTTTCCCAAAGGATTTTCCTTCTATTTGATTCTGAAGAGAGCAGCATTACATACAATTCACATTGTGCAGTCGCAGTCAATTTATAAAATAAAAACACTGAGAGGCAAGTCACCTGTTGTACTTGTGCTATGCTCCCAAAAGGTGCCGTCAGCAAATTTCCAAGATTTAATCAGAGCATTACAGTTGGCTTCATGATAATTAATAATATCCAACAAACCTCATTAAGATTATATTTTCGTCTTTCTGTTGTATTAATCAGTGACTGTAATGCCAACTTAATAGTTCAATAAACTTGAACATTATCAACACACAACAAAAGAGCAATGTTTTCTGTACCTGGATGTTGTTAAAAAAAATACTTTTCAGTTATGATTAAAATGAAATTATAATCAACAACAAAGAAACAAATTATGGTGGCCTTATAAGAGCTGCCAATAAACCATAGCTACTTACCTAAGGCAGGATTTGGGGGAAATACCATCCCTTCCCTTCACACAAGCAAAACATTTAAAGTTAGAATAAATAAACCAATAATCAATAAAACACTCCCCATTGACCCTAGCTACTGCTGCAGGCAATGGAACATGTAATTTGGAAATAGATCACTAAAATTCATCCAAGACATTTTTAATAATTCTGATGGTTGTAGTAGCTTCCACTACTAATACATTACTAATACATTACTAATAACTACTAACTACCAATCAACCTAAATATAATAAATGCATGACAAAAAGCTATGTATTTCATATTGATTGGTTTCGTTCAAAAAAAGCTTTATTGCACGAAATCGCCTCAAGTTAAATAAAATAGACTTATAATAATAATATAGAAAACTAGAAGCTTAAATTCGCTAAAAGAAGCAGACGTGGCAACTCATAAAGCCCGGTCGTCACCGGAATCTCACGCAGAACCCCGCGAGACTTTGTATGTGGGTCATTCAGAGAACATCTGTGTGTGTACAATATTGTTGTTTTGAACCAAATTGTACACCTAATTTTAGTACGTTATTGACTTAATTAAATTTTGTATATTTTCTACAAGAAGATGAAACCTGCTATGATTAACATTTGTGCATACTCTTCTTGAAATGATTCAAAACGAAGAAATTGCTATATGTGTTCGTTGCGTTCCTCAAGCAGCTTGATATTAAAAAGCTAAACATTAATTTGAGAGTCAATCATAAAAGGCGCGTGGACTACTTATCTCAATTGATCTATGAGACATAATGGTCCAGACCGAGCAATGGCCAAATACTTTCATACAATATGAGACAGACGGGGCCAAATCGACAGCAGATACAAAACCTGGGCATCCAGTTAAGAACCGTGGACGTGGCTCACGTGATGTTTGCTTCTCACTTCCTGAGTTTTGACCAATCCCAGGGCACGTTCAGACCACGTCGTTCTACTCTGGTCACATCCGGGTGAGCAGTTTTGAGAGGTGAGTAGCTAATTCTGACTGAACAAATATATATCAATTAGAGACTTATTCACTAATCTTGCGATGTAAATAAGTCGATTTATGTGCATATGACACCGAAATGTTTTGTGTAAAGAGCTAAATAATGTACATTCGGCAGCAATTTAGGTCTTTTTAATCATCGGGTTGGTCCTCCGCCGGTTAGCTTTAGCAGCTAACAATATAACTCATTGCTGTTTTCCGGAGATCCAGTCCCACTGTGAGTAAATGTGTCCCTTGGTCTTATGTAGGTCCCGTGTGGTTTGCGTCTGGAACCACTACACTCTTCATCATGTGCGGATCTCGGCTGCTGCAGGTGCTGTGTGCGCAGCTCCTGTGGGTGTGGGTGATGGGTTCAGAGCTCACTTTTGAGCTGCCGGATAACGCTAAGCAGTGTTTCTACGAAGACATCACCATCGGAACCAAGTGCACGCTGGAGTTTCAGGTGAAGACACACACATTGGGCGAGTCTTTTGATATATAGTACGTTTTACCGAGAATGTGTAACAAGAACTGCTGAGTCTGTACAAATGTCACTGATAGTTCACTATAGTAACTTGTCACTAGCCACTTTACCTGCTGTTAGTATTACTGTACTATTACATATCCATCTGATATTTCTGCCATTCACAAGCCACTTAACCTGTTGATATTATTTCTGATATTTATTCTGTTCATATGCATATTCCCACATTCTCCGCTACTAAAGTACATAGACATCTGTAAATACTTTTGAACCAAGTGCAATTATAGCCCAGAGTTTATTTTATTCTTATCTTAATTTTATTGTCTATTATCTTAAATAATAGACTTATTTGATGTGTGCAATCTGAGTGCTCCTATTTCCTTTCTTTGCTGTAACGTGCGCAACAATGACACTGAAATTTCTCCACTGTGAGACTAATAAAGGTTCAACTTATCTTATTTTATCTTATCTTACCAAATCTGTACACGACATCTGTAACTTGTGATGCAACACATGTCCCCACTGTCGGACGAATAAAGGATCTCTTCATCTTAAACGACCAAAACTGTAAACTGCCTTTGTGTGTTTGGGCAAGCAATTATATTTTATATTCTTACCATGTGTATTCTTTCTTAGGTTGTCACTGGTGGGCATTACGATGTAGACTGTCGCTTGGAGGACCCTGATGGCACAACTCTTTACAAGGAGATGAAGAAACAATATGACAGCTTCACGTTTACAGCTGCAAAGAATGGCACCTACAAGTTCTGCTTCAGTAACGAGTTTTCCACCTTCACTCACAAAACAGTTTACTTTGACTTCCAGGTTGGAGATGACCCTCCTCTCTTTCCCAATGAGAACAGAGTAACTGCACTTACCCAGGTGAGCTGTTCAACTGACTGTGATTAACCTATGAAGATGTTGGGGTACAAAAATGAAGCTGTTTTGGGGAGCGCACACTATACAACTCGACTTAGACTGACAGCACAATATGTGCGTCAAGGCTTTTGTTTGCACTGTGCTTCTCTTCTGTTTAAACATGTGAGCGTGTGTAGCTGTATGTCCCTTCTGTAGTATTACAGTGGTGTTTGGAGCAGAAGTAACAGGCAATTGTTGCGATTGTCATTGTTTGTGTGTCTCTCTTCAAAAAAAATTTACTTTTTAGGCTGATTAGTGTGGAGACTGTTAAAGAGCCCTCTTTTTTTAAGATCTGTTGGTTTCGTATTTCAAACAAATTTTGTGCAACTTTTTGCACGAAATTGTGCAAAAAGTTGTGTGGTGTGTTCAAAGCTTTCGGTTGGTCAGTAGACAAGTCTATATATCTTAAAACAAGTATAACTTAAATTAATCTTTAGCAGCTAGGGCTGTACAAAGTCCAATAATTAAGAACATTAATTAAGCTATACTATAAGCCAAAGCAATTTCCAAGTCTGTGACCTCCTGTTACTTACGTGGCAATAAAAATGATTCTGATTCTGATAACTGAAACATGGTAAATTTATCAGTTATAGTCCTTCAATGATTTCCCATTGAGATCCCAGTGTTTATTGCAACTCTATTGCAGTCCACACTGAGTACTTATTTGTTTGCTGATTATGTGTACTATTCGCTGATTTTCATTGCTCTTTCATTGGTCCCTTGTTTACAGATGGAGTCTGCCTGTGTCTCGATTCATGAGGCTCTGAAGTCTGTCATTGACTACCAGACACATTTCCGTCTGCGCGAGGCTCAGGGGCGCAGTCGTGCTGAGGACCTTAACACCCGTGTGGCGTTTTGGTCAATCGGTGAAGCCATAATTCTTTTGGTTGTCAGCATAAGCCAAGTCATCCTACTGAGGAGCTTCTTCTCCGATAAGAAAACTACCACCACTCGCGTCGGGTCATAACAGTCTGAGTGTAACATGCTGCTACTTAGTTTATCTATGTCAGGGCGTATGTGTGTGTGTGGTGTGGGCAATTATCAGATCATATTTTTCCAGTCCCAACAGAATTAGTCTAAAATTGGCCTGTATGTCTTGGGGAAAGTTCAAGTATAGTACTCAAAGTTAATAGACCATAAAATTAAAACATAAAAAGAGGAAATATTCCTTGTTTGTAAGATTACAGTGAACGTTTCTGCTGTCTTTGTTTGCCATGCTTTTTCATAGTTGTATAATTAATTTTGCAAACGGAATTGCTGTTTGCTCATATGAAGCGGCTTTGTTTTTCTTTTGGTCTCTTATCTACCTTTCTAAACCAGTAATGCTGTTACTTTACAATTACAGCCAAATTTTACTGCCAAAGAAAACGGTTTGATAGTTGAGAACTCTGCTGACAAAGTCTTGCCTTGTAAAACCAGTTATGGTATGCTTACCCACTGTTTCTGCTGTTGTCTTTTGTAGTACTAATGTACTTACCAAATATTTCTGTGAATAACAAAATCAGCTCCAGACTAAAATGCTGTTTTCAGATTTATGGCCTGTCATTATGTAGGTGAAGGTAATTACATAATTTGCTTTCCTAAATCAAGATACCATCTAGAAAAATGTGCATGTTCATAAGGCACAAACCTTTAGACCCTATGCGTCAGCTCCTTATTATTTATGTTTGTGTTGGTTTTTTACTGGTCAGTTTTAAAATGTTTTGGGGTTACAAAATGTCCTATTTATTTTGTTTGTAATACATTGGTCTAGCCAACCATACTCTTACTTCTCCAGCGGTAATTGTTATCTGCTACGTCTCGTTTTGAATTTGTTTTGTTCTAAACTTTTCTTTTGTAATTGAAAAAAAAAATCTATACACTGTTTAATACCAAACCACTCATTTATAATGATCTTCACAGAAATAAAATCTACCCCATGATGTTGACTGTATACAGTTTGTGTGGAGGTGATGACAAAAAAAATCCACTGCCATTTTTATCCTGTAGGGGGAGACGCGACTTTATCTTTGGATCTAGTATTTACAGTGTAAAAAATTTGACTACATGGATTCTGGAATTCCTACTCTATGTATTGATGCTTTTGAGAACTAGGTTCTTTTCGGAAAAATAATTGGATTTTAATTCGGATGTGGAAAAAAAAGTTTTACAGCTAGGACTAATAACATAAAACATGCCTGAATACCATGCCCATTCTGAAAGGTAATTCATGCGTATTCATTCAATCATTTGGTAAGTTTATTTGCAAATTATTGTGAATTATTTACTGAAACGTACTTCCGGGAGCAGTTTGGGGCGGGGACTAGAGTGGCTAATGTCGCCTGTGATTGGTCGTCGACGCGTCAATCACTGCAGCAGCGAGAGAAAACACTGCGCTGGACTCTGCCTCTGACAGAATTTGAGTCGTGATCTTCGCCGAAGCTGTGGGTGGACAGTCTCTCTGCCTTCCCCTGTGTGTGTGTGTGAGCCTGGGCGATTACATCGATGAGCTGTCTGCTTCTTAGGGGTAACGCTTTTGATTGTGGATGTGGGATAAAACAAGCCTTGAAGCGACCTGGTGTGTTTCTAACCCGCTTTTTGCCTAAAAGACGGACTATCTTTGCCCTGGAGGAGCTAAAGCTAACAGCAGCGCAGTGTACGGGTGTAGGTGGATTACGGCTTTTCTTTCCCCTAAAAATATAATTAAAACCCCATTAAATCGATGTCGGAATGCAACTACATGACCTAAAACATTTCTAAGCGTAATCGCAAGTAAATATAGCGACGTGAAGCTAGTTGACTAGCTAGTACAAGCATCACGGAAGTTCACTAACGGCTAGCTACCGAGCTGATAAACATTTCAACATATTATTCTTGGACAAAGGGTCCTCTTAAATCTTTGAATTATGGCCATAGTTAAACAATAGAATACCAAACTGGAAAAATAACAAATCACTTTCCTGCGACCTTTTAATCTGAGCACAGTGGCTTGTTTTCTATTAGCGCCGTAGCCTCTGCTTACTGTAAACAAAGGGGTCTTTCGCTGCTCTTTTTATGGACACCGGCGGAGGTTTTAATTAAACGTGGGGACAAATCAAATATGGATTTAAAGACTGCGGTGTTTAATGCGGCTAGGGATGGAAAGCTACGACTGCTTCAGAAACTCTTGGAAAACAAAGATGGACGAGATGTGACCAAACTAATGGGTGAAAAAACAAATGGGGCCACTCCACTGTTGATGGCGGCTCGATACGGACACCTGGACCTAGTGGAGTACCTGCTGGAGTGCTGCTGTGCCCCGGTTGAGGTGGGAGGCTCGGTCAATTTTGACGGGGAAACTATCGAGGGAGCACCGCCTCTGTGGGCAGCGTCCGCGGCTGGGCACCTAAAGGTGGTCCAGTCTTTGCTGGGGCACGGAGCTTCAGTCAATAGTACCACCTTGACGAACTCTACGCCTCTGAGAGCGGCTTGCTTCGACGGACACCTGGACATTGTGAAGTATCTGGTGGAGCACAAGGCTGACCTGGAGGTGGCCAACAGACACGGACACACGTGTCTGATGATCTCCTGTTACAAAGGCCATAAGGAGATCGCCCAGTATCTGCTGGAGAAGGGGGCAGACGTGAACAGGAAGAGTGTCAAAGGTGAGTAGCTCACCTCCAGTCTCAAGCCATGTCTCTGACTCAACGGAATAACATGATCTACTGGTTTCACATTTGAGGAAAATGCTATGCCTGTATGGGTGTGTCAAGAAGCTTTAGACTCTCCCTTTTATTTGGGACCTAAACAAATGCATAACAGTTCAATTTAAATGTGTATTTTTTGTTTTGATTAGAACGAGAGTTTGCGAACCAATACTTAATTTATTTGATCATCTGTTAAACGTTCAAGAAACTTTTTAGTTCATGATGTCAGTAATTGGGTGTAGTCAGATTAAACCAGTGTGCTTTATGCAGTAGTTTTCATCAGACCTATTATGCATGGTGTAACTGCAAGGTTAATCTATTCTGTCTTATCAGAATATTATGCATGTATTTTATGGGGAATTACAATTTCCCAAGAAAATTATGTATGTGCGAGTTATTGTATCTGGTTTGGCTATTAATGTTATTCTAATACCTAGGCAACACAGCCCTTCATGACTGTGCCGAGTCGGGGAGTCTGGAGATCATGAGAATGCTGCTATGCTTTGGGGCCACAATGGAGCAGGATGGATATGGGATGACCCCTCTGCTGTCTGCCAGTGTCACTGGCCACACTAACATAGTTGACTACCTGACAACGCACCAACAGGTTACACCTTTTCTATTTATTATATCTCTAGTGGCCAATATTGATCTAACATATTTTTATTCAGTGGCAAACTATTTGGATATTATGTAGGCCTGTCGTGATATTCAATAAATTAATTAATCTCATGATAATTAAAATTAGCTTGATAATTTTTCTGGCCGCGACAAATTCCATTTGCATGCTTGTTTGTTTTCCTCGTCTCTCTCCCTCTCTCTTGGGTCAGAGAGCCGCAAAGTGGTCACGGGAACATTGGCGGTCTAGCAAGCAGGCAAATACAAAATACAGCCAAAACAGGACGTAAGCCAGAATTGATAATGGGGGACACAGTAGTTGTGAACATATGCCAGTCTGAGTTCTCATTCATGCTCTAGTAGTGACTAAACTAGTGCAGCTAGCGTGTTCGCCGATGCGGAAGTAGCGTTTCATAATAAAGAAATCTTATAGCACACGTCCGTGAACTCATACTGCTGTTTATATATAAAGTCTCTGGAGAAGGTCTCTGTATGCAGAGCTGCATTCTTGGCGAACAACTTCACACAAAAAGCCGCTAGCTTAACTCAGTTAGCTACTTCCGCCACTTCCGGCAGTGGTCTTTAAAAATAAGTTTATTTCTCTTTGAAAAAGTGTACCTGCATCATTATCATTGTATTAGATGAAAATGATCTCAGAACGACAATATTATTGCTTATCCCAATCATTTCTGAGACAATTAATCGTCCAGCAAAATTTGTTATTGTGACAGGTCTAGATATGTGGTCAGTGCAATGGGTGCCGCCAAAGTCCAGTTATGTTCACTTATAGCACTGTTTGGTAGTGGTTTCATTTCCAGCTTTGTATCATTAGCCCGTTTCTTGTCTTTTTATTTTCTGATGACTAAGTCATTATACAAAGTTAATTGAATGATCATGTGTATTCTTTGCAGACCAGCCATAAGGAACGAATAGATGCCCTTGAGCTCCTTGGTGCCACTTTTGTGGACAAAAAGAGAGATTTACTTGGGGCCTTGAAATACTGGAAAAGAGCCATGGACCTCAGATATATGGACGGCAACCATGTGGTCAACAAGCCTGAACCAAAGCAGCTCATTATGGCCTATGATTATGCTAGAGAGGTGAGTGCTCATCAATTTTTGATTCAGTTTTTCCTTTTTCAGTACTTAGATTGAAATGCAAAATAACTGGACAAAAACTATATTTTGATCAACGTAAGTCACACAAATGAATGCGTGGTGTCTTTTTACTAAAGGTTTCTATCATTTTGGCAAAGCTCTATCTATGCACTTTGACCACAGAGCCAATCAGCATCCGGGTTGGTCATTCCATTTAGAAGCAAGACACTTGCTAAACGGATAATCACACTTTGGGGAAGACTGTGTTGGCCTGATCTCTGATTACCTCCCTCCCTCGCAAGGGTGTATTGTAATCGACCACGTTTGTTAATTAGCGCGCGTCCTAGCGCAGTTATGTTTAGGACTTGGGCTTGCTGTAAGGGCGTCCCTGAACTCTGACATGGCGATTGTTGAGGCAGTGGTCATGTGACGAAACCCAGAAATCCTGCACCAAAATTTCTTGCAGCGCGTTCTAGAATTCATTAATATATAGTTTGTCAAAACAGTGCAATTTAATTTTCACAAGCATGAAAACTGTAGTCATGTAGGCGCTTTCACTGTGTTATCTTATTGTGGAAGAATTTAGTATTGTGATGTATGCACGACATCCTGTATCCAGGTTGTGCTCCAGATCAACTCTAGATTAAAAACAATTGGGTCCTGTCCCATTTTCAACATTATTTTAGTTATCCAGAATACTGCCTGTTAAAAGAATAGACATTACACTGCAGCTAACAGGAGATGCCTCACTGCGCCAGCTGCTAAAAGCAGGAGGTTTTATTATAAAGCAAGTCATGTCACTGCCAATAATCATTAGATCTTCAGTCTAATGCTCTCCCAACTGAGCTATTTCGGCATGTACTTAACACCCTAGTCCAGTGTCAGTTGTGATGAATGAAATATGTGGCATTTCTTGTGTTCTCCAAGGTCACTAATGGAGAGGAGCTGGACGGGCTGATATCTGACCCAGATGAGATGAGAATGCAGGCACTGCTCATCCGTGAGAGGATCTTGGGCCCTCAGCATCCAGACACCTCCTACTACATACGCTACAGAGGAGCCGTTTACGCAGACTCTGGGAACTTTGAGCGCTGCATTAATCTGTGGAAATACGCACTGGACATGCAGCAGACAAACCTGGACCCTCTCAGTCCAATGACAGCCTCCAGTTTGCTGTCGTTTGCTGAGCTTTTCTCCTTCATGCTCCAGGACCGGGCCAAGGGGCTGCTGGGAACGTCTGTGTCATTTGAGGACTTAATGGGCATTTTGTCTAAAAGTGTTTTGGAGATTCAGCGGGCGGTGAAGCAGACTGGTCTGACGCCCCCTGAGCCTGCCCAGCTCACCAAAGCCCTGTCAATCATCTTGCACCTCATCTGCCTCCTGGAGAAAGTACCATGCAGTATCGAACAAGACCACTACAAGAAGGAGACTATTTACAGGTGGGTGTGCAATAGGATAATGACCCTTTTGAGTTTTCAAGAACATTGTGCATGCAGTGATTTTCTTGTTTGTATACATTTGATTGTGCTTGAACATCTTATTGTTTAATTCCCAAACCTCAATGCACTCCTTTCTTTGGCTTGCCTAATCTTTCGATTTCCTATCATCAATCTTGTCTGCATTAGTAGGAACTGTATTTTGTAACTGACAGCGTTACACTCTTGCTGGATATATTATTTATTTATATATTATTACAACCCAAAGTAGTGGCCATCCCTGTCTGACGATTGCTTCCCATCAATCATCTTCTTCCACATAAGAGAATACAAATTACGCCGAGCTTTTTAAAAAACAATCCAATGTGTAAATGAAAACTCACAACTATTCAAAGTCAATGTTATTATATCCCCTTTTAAAATAACTAGTGGCATTTTACTGTCAATGTTTTTTGATGGTCGGAATTTATGTGCTGTTAAACCCCCAGGTTTAAAAAGCACATTGAAGATTGGGACATTTTCAAGCCCTCCAATTAATTTTTTTTAATCAGTTTATATCATGTCCTACTTTTCATGGTCTCTCCCAGATTCCTAAAGCTCCAGCCCTGTGGTAAGAACGGGTACAGTCCGCTCCATCTCGCTGTTGACCGAAACACGACCTGCGTTGGCCGGTATCCCGTCTGCAAGTTCCCATCGCTCACCGTGGCCTCCATTCTGCTGGAGTGTGGAGCCGATGTCAACAGCAGAGACGAGGACGACAACAGGTGAAATGACCCCCCCTCACTGCTCTTCATGTTTGCCAAATTGCCGCAGCATTGTTGATATATTGGTTATTAAGTTTAATATTGTAGGCTGACTTTTACAATGCCATTAGTTTGGGGTTACAGGAAGAGGTAGTGAGGGTTTAAACAAGAGCCATGGATATGAGACTCCGGTTTCAGTGTGCCTGTTTTTTTATTGTCACTTGCAATTGAAGTGGTTTGTTATGAATAAAAGGTATAATAGGACACACTTTATTCTGTGGTTCTTGGAGGAACTCTGAAAAGCGGCTCTCATAATAAACCACGTTAGAAACAGGCCAAGTTGAATAGGAGTCTTCATTGTGATTGTATTCAATTATATTCAACATGCAAATTTGAATATAATTGAATACAATCTCATCCAGCCCACAGTCGGTTTAGGCTTGGTTTCATGCTACATTGTACCTTAATGCATAAATGAAATAAGTAGTGAAAAGTAATATCCTCCTTCAAGTTTGGATCCTTATTTACTACACTTCCAGGGGTCACCGTTCGATGCAAGTTCAGTCCTAGTATTCTTTGGGTAAGAAATGCTGGTTTAGAAATACTTTTAACACGGGTAGCAAATACCTTAGGGGGTTAAACAAAATGGAATGTAAACTCCATATACAGTAAACAACATTTAATGCAGAGCTGTACCAAAAATCTACATGTTGCAATCTCAACTTTTGTAGATTGCAATGATTGTTTAAAAAATAAAGTATATATATTTTATTTATTTTTATTTAATAAAAAAAATATCTATAATCTGCAATAATGCATGCCATATTAGGTTCCTAACATCATATCAAATGTCAGTTGTGTTGAAAGTGGTAGTGTGATGGGCACTCACTCAAGCTAAATGGACTTCCAAAAAATACAGGTAAAAGGTGAACGGGACTGCCTTTTTATAAATGACTTGTCTGAACTTTTTCCCATGCCTCACCTCCAGCCCCCTCCACATCGCCGCCTCAAACGGTCACCCAGACATCATGAACCTGCTCATCTGCAGTGGCACGCACTTCGACAGCACCAACTCTTTTCAGCAGACTGCTCTAGACTTGCTGGACGAGAAGGAGCTGGCCAGAAACGTCGTCCAGCCCATCAACCACACCACACTGGCTTGCCTCGCTGCTCGAGTCATTGTCAAGCACAGCCTCCACTACAGGGGGAACATCCCGGAGAAACTGGAGGCCTTCGTGTTACTTCATAGATAATATCCTGGAAGAACTCTACTAAAACGTACTCACGGTATTAAAGAGGAACATGCAAAGGTGTGAACTGGCTCGATGTTTTTCACCCAGAATGGATTACAAAAAAGTTAGTTTTTCAAATGGACGACAGCAGTCAGAAAAATACATGGAAGAACCAAGAAACTATAGGTTTACATATTTTTGCTCTAGAAATGTATTTTTTGCATATTCCACAATGCTATTTATTATCAAAACTTGAGAGATTTTCTCCATGCAAGCTCCCAAACCCAGCTTTTGCCTGTTCTCTTTATCAGAGACTTTTCTAGCAACACTGGGATATCAGGTTAATTTTTTTGTTTTTTCATATCATCCCATTGCAGTTGCCAACAGTCATGGACCTGTTCTCTCACATCAATTTTCTACTGTCTTGCAATCAGAATATGCCAAGGGAGGGAGGGGTACACTGTGAGATATCCATATCTGGATGAGGCACAATGACCGCTCATCTTGACTTTTAATTTTCTAACATTTTTTAATAGTTCTGACCAAGATTGAAATATAGATAAAAATAACAAGGAGTTTCAAAATGAGCTATACTACTGACATTGAGAAGTGAGTGTGTGTGTGGCCTTTTAATATCTCATCCTAATCACGTACAGGGGTTAAAACTATACTCTTGAGATTGAAATGTCTAATTCTGAAAGATAATTTATATAAACACTTGTTAGTTAATAAGCCAAAACTCATCAACTACTGAAGTCAAGATGCTGAGCTGGGATCATTGTATGCCCATGAGGATATACAGTAATTGCAGAGCCTGGTTCATCGCAGTTTCCTTGGTAAAAAAGAAGCTTTATGAGAAGGGTTCTGTTTGCAAACACCATAAGTGCTTTATCCTTCCTATGCACAGGCTGCTGTTGAGACTGTTGAATTTTAAGTTTACCTCATGAATGAGACTGCCGACTTCCTAAAATCACTATTCAAAACAAGACTAAAAAAATTAAGACTTGAATTCAGACTAATTTTGGGGGATTTACCCTAGAAAATTAAAGTCAATTACCCTGATGATGAATAATGTCAATTAAAATGCAGTTTGTGTATTTAAGAAGCTTTAGATTCAGGCTGCTTTAAACCCAATGTAGGATAAACTAAAATGGAAATGGTATGCCACATTTAATATAGTCTTTGTGGGTACAGACTTTTCTTTATTTTTTTCCATATACAATAAACCTTTTAAAAGATGGTTTAATGTCCAAAATAATGTAAAATTTTCAAATGCAAACTAATATTCTGAATTCAAGCCATTTTCTAACAAGAAGTCTTTGCTTTTTTGCGGTGTTCTGGATGAACGCAATGTGAGAATGAGTTGCTTCTGAATGAAACTATCTCGCAAAGCATTGAAACGCTTGTATGCAAGTGGCCTCTCAAATGTTTAATTTCTATTTATGTTTTTCATCAAATCAATGGCCTCGAGAGGTTCCAGAATACTTTGTTTCACCATTCATTAGAACTTCCTTCTAGATCTACTGTATTGGCATGCCTGCTTCAGTTCAATCTGCTTTTCTAAAAAAGTGTCAGTTATTTTTCTTTGCACATTAGCTTTAGACAAATGTCAGTTATTAAAAGGGCTTTCCATATTTTCATTAGGTTTAATCTTTCAGATATATTTGACATAACTGTTGGCCCGTGGAGCACTACCGGACGACTCTGCACTTTACTACAGCAGAGTTTGAGATTTCAAATGGCATTAATCAAGTTCATGTCTTAACCAGTTTGACAATAAACCCATGTTGCACTTGTTATAAAATGTCCTCCTTATTTCTGCTTGCCCTGCCCTTCTTGCTGGCCATCATTTGCCATTTTCCTCCCCTCTTGTTGGCTAGAGATCTGCTTAGATTTCAGAAATCATTTTAGATAAATTGTTGAAATTGAAATAACTGAATTGACATTAATTTATGATAAATGTTTTGTTTAGTAATATAAGATCTGTAATACAGGACTATTATAATGTATTTATTTGACATATTTTTTACTGGTGCATTTGTCCATGTGACATTCCCCTCACAGATTATGCTAAATATCTGGATTGACTTGTTCTGTTTGAGTAAAACTATGTTCAGTGTTTATTCTGGGCTCAACATAAACACAAGCAAGTTCTCTTTTCAATTGCAGCCACATTCCCCTTAATCCATTCTTTTATCCTGTCAGACTCTCCTTTTTGACACGTGGGTCTGTCTTGTTATGCTAATAGTTTTGTACAAGTTGACTTGTTTTTAACTTGAATTAATTTGGTGCTGGTTCCTCTTAAGAACCAACCAAATTAATTTTAAACATTTGATCACATACAAGTGGTTTTGACAATTTTCTTTGGAAACTATTGTAATGTAGGAATTGTTTATTGGGGGACTATTGTTGCATAGTGATACTGGAGACTGCTGGTGTAGAAACATCTGTGAATGCTGATTTCATGTTTCACTTCAAAGCTGCTGCTCTGGACAGAATTCACCTGCTCTGCATGTGCTGCTTCTGGTGACAAACTTCGACACTTGATCGGAGAGCGGCTGCAGTCGGGAGCCCTCTGAGGAGGAATGCACCCAGGGGAAACCTTTGACACTGCTCTGGTCACTTCCGAGAAACGCCTCTATAAAAAACAAAATGAATTATGACTTGTTTGTTCAAAGCCGTTTTAAATGAGTGGCTAAGTGGAGGCACCATGCAGGAAGTTAAAGGGGACTGATTAGGTTAACATTTGTACAATTGAATCTGAATCAGGTTGCACTTTGGCTACACTGTATATTGTAAACCCCCAACAGTAAATTATTGTATTGTTAAACATTAATTACAGCTGAACATTTACTATTTTATTCTTCCCCGTTGAAGAATGCAGATCTTTACTGGTTTGAACTGATAGAAGGATCAAATACAGATTGAAATATCGGTAAATTGCTTCATGGAATTATTTGATAAATATTTATTTAAATCATATGTTACTATTATCCAATATTTGTGGAAGCTTACCATTTTAATATTTTGTTAAGAACAGTCATGTTATTTATTTTATATCACTAATTATTAACAATCAGATAACACAAATACGTAAAGACACAAAAACGATTACATGGGTTTAATCAAAGGCTGAGCAGAAATGTGACTCATCCATTTCATTTCTCACACTTTAGCCTCAGCGGGCTCCAGCATGTCGCTTCAGTTTATGCAACTTGAAAGTAGCTATTATTTGAGTCTACAAGACCCGGTTATTTATCAAAAACCATGTGTACGAGTCTGCGAGTATAATCAAAGCTTTGTTTCCACAGAGCACCTGTTCTCCCCTTGCCACACTCAATATCAATCCATCCAAGTGTTTGACTTCGTTCCACAGAGAGAATCTTGATTACATCATAGCGGCAGATAACAACAGGAGGTTAGTGACAACCTGTCGGTTTGAAGGGGATTTCTCTGATCCATTTATAGGCTGGGATCCTGGGAAATTTTTCACTGTATACAGTTTGCTTTCGCTGCACTATTTTAAAACTTCTCTGTGCTGTTACCGAGCAGAAATGCATATTTTAACCTGTGACAAAATCCAGCAACATTTGTCCGTTCAACATTCACAAGAGCTTTCAAGTTTTTGCCTGTAGAGTTTTAAGATGAACCCGTCCTCCAATGCCATGAGGTCAACTTGTCAGGTTCAGTGGTCGCTACAGTGCACCTTTTGGAGACCCATCTCCTTCACTGGAGGATCTTGCTGCATTCGCTTTTAGGAGCACAGATAATCCGGACCACGTCTCAGATCCGCAGATGGGTTTTGTTCAGCTACACGAAAACCCCAGCGCTTCATTGTGTTATTTTGGTCTCGTTTGGAAGAGGCCTGTCAGCTCAGCCTACTTTTGTACGCTCTATATTTAGGGCGGTATAATGCCCTGTTGGAAGACTGTCCCACATTAATCCACCTCCTCAGTCTCTGAGGTGAGGTGTATTCACTCAGCAGAACATCCAGAGATGGTCTAACTTCAAACATCGAGTGTGGCCTCTTGTGAGGCTGTTGAGACTCTAAGATATGTTTTAGCATAAAGCAAAAACCTTGATACTGCAATTTGTTTTTACCCAATTTGTGTTACTTGTTACTCATTGTTATACGTATTATAGCAGCTGTCATGTGGTGAAATTAAAAGGAACACAAAATGCAGGACTGAAAGAAGTGAATTAAATTAAACCAAATCTAGGGTAACAATAAAACACAAAAACTAAAAACAAGCCAGGAACAAACAGTCACAAAGTCAATCTAAATGCTAAAATGCTATTTTTTTCACTGTTGTATTTCTGTGGTTTTCATAAGTGGAGGAAGTGACCCCAGGATCGTCCGAGTAGAAAAGTACATTAAGTACATTAGTACATTATTTCAAAATATAATCTCAATGTAAACTTCATTTGTATAGCACATTTACACTAGTATGAAACAAATAATGAGGACACTGTAAGTAATTAAATAAGTCTTTTAGAAGGATCAGAATTATTGTTATTGCCATTGTGAGTGACCGGAAGTTACAAACTAGGAAGTTGCTTTGGCTCTCGGTGCAAACAAGTTACTTAAAGAAAAATAATTTCACTGGATTTAAACTTGTACTCCTGTCCATTTCCATTCACGTTGTGGGTCGCAAGTTTATTTCATGCCTATTTTGAGGGTCTGTGACTGAAATGTTTGGAACCCCTGCTGTAGTATGTAGGAGACACAGGCAGCCAAGTTTGTGTCTAACCCTAGAGTGAATGAATGAATACTACTTTTCAGTCTTACTTGAGAGGAATGCTTACAACACATACCACACAAGTTCAGAATGCTCCAGGCCTTCTGCTCTTTGTAAAAATATGATTCTTTGTTGTTTCCACCATCTGTACAATTTTACAATTGAAAATATAATGATCAACACATGACCAGAGGGACACAGCTGTTATGTCATTCTACAAATCTACTTATTTTTCACAGTCCCAAAGTTTGACATTCCAGACAATAGATTTGTAAAATAAAT